ACTCAGAGATGCTGAGCAACTTGCCTGAAGTCGGTGGCATAATTAATTTGTGAATGGTGGAGCAGGATTCGAAGGGGGCTCTGTGTGGTTCACTGACCTACCCTCACCAGGCTGAGCTGTATGCATTGGATTACCTCTATGGATGGTCCCAACCTTTCCCCTTTGTCCTCTTTTCATAAAAAATACTTTGCCGACCCCCTTGACTCCCTCAAAATGAAATTCATAAATAAGGCAATCTAACTAAACACCTAATTTTTAATAAAATAAAGTGCACAAAATGTTTTAAAAGGACAGTTACTTACAATAGAGTATATATTTCACATGTAAGTGCTTGGCATGACCACACTGTTACATGATAATGTAGCTGTCAGGTGTACATGCTTTCTTCTTTTTTTTATAAAATAATTTTATTTATTTCTTTATTTTTGGTTGTATTAGGTCTTCACTGCTGCTCAGGCTTTCTCCTGTTGCAGTTGAGTGGGGGCTATTCTCCAGTTATGGTGCTTAGGTTTTGCGTTGTGGCGGCTTCTCTTGTTGTGGAGCACCGGCCACTAGCGCCACTTGGGAGTGGTTGGTAACAGTACCACCAGACACTTGGTTGCCCCAGCGAAGAGTGCTTTTGTGGCAGACTGTGTCATTGCCTCCAGTTCTTCAGCCCTTTGTGACCTATTCCCTTTGCATTGTAACTTTAATGTTTGACCCCATGACCTGCTTAAGCCCAAAGAAGGAGATAGAAGTGACAGTGCAGCTCCAAGCCTAAGCCTTAAGAAGCTTGTCTGTTTCTCCTAGCTCTATTGTGTTTCTGTTATTCTCATGAGAAAAATGTGCCCAAGCTGGCCAGCTGGTTACAGTAGGAGGCTGAGGCACACATGGAGAAGAGCTGAGCTATTCTTGTCAAGGTGGATGTAGATCACCTAGACAATGACTTAGCTTAGGTAAGATTGGAGAGCTGAACCCCTCTGCTAGGAGAAATCTCTGAGATGACAAAATGGACCTGTAACAGCTTTTTTTACAGGCATTCCAGCAGAAGCTCCAAGTCATCTGCCTAAACCCAAGCCAGTCTATATGGTTCTTTGTACTCTCAGACTACAACGGGCTAAGGACTTCCCTGGTAAAAGTGGTTAAGAATCTGCCTTCCAGTGCAGGGGATGCAGGTTTGGTCCCTGGTTGGGGAACTAAGATCCCACATGCTATGGGGCAACTAAGCCCAGATGCCTCAACTAGAGAAGCCTGCGGGCTGCAGTGAAGAACCTGAACGCTGCTTCAAAGACTTAGCACAGCCAAAAAAAAAAAAAAAACTGCAATGGGCTGAAACTGAGGATGGTTGTTTTCCCAAAGGAAACTGGAATTCTGTTAGAGAAGGCAGAGAAGACAGTCAGAGAGCCACTACCAAATGCTTCCCCCATCTTCTCTGCAGGAGATTTGGGGACTGAGGGCTTTTATCCAGAAAGTCAAGGTGTAAGACTTTCTGATGTCCATAGGAAGATCACCAGTTTGTCCTCTGTTTGGGGTGGAATACCAAAATCAAGCGTCTCTTAGCAGCATTAAAGATCATGCTCTGAGATGGAAGTATGACAAGGGTCTGTCTCAGAGTCCTGCTAAGACTCCTAGCTGTTCTCTGCTCAAGGATTTTTGTGTACAAACTAAAAATATTATGAGACAATAACATGAAATATTCATAAATTAATGCTCATATGCATGGCCTCTCCAGCAAAGAACCAACATATGCTATTTAACATTTTGTTGTTCAGTTGCTCAGTCATGTCCGACTCTTTGTGACGCCATGGGCTGCAGCATGCTAGGCTTCCCTGTCCTTCACCATCTCCTGGAGCTTGCTCAAACTTATGTCCATTGAGTCTGTATGTCACTCAACCACCTCGTCTTCTGTCAGCCCCTTCTCCTCTGGCCTTCAATCTTTCCTAGCATCAAGGTCTTTTCTAATGAGTCAGCTCTTCACATCAGATGGCCAAAGTATTGAAGCTTCAGCTTCAGCATCAGTCCTTCCGATGAATTTCCAGGGTTGATTTCCTGTAGGATTGACTGGTTTGATCTCCTTGAAGTCCAAGGGACTCTTAAGAGTCTTCCCAAAACCACAGTTCAAAAGCATCCATTCTTTGGCACTCAGCCTTCTTTATCGTCCAACACTTACATCCATACATGATTACTGGAAAAACCACAGCTTTGACTAGACGGACCTTTGTCAGCAAAGCGATGTCTCTGCTTTTTAATACGCTGTCTAGGTTTGTCATAGCTTTCCTTCCAAGGAGCAAGAGTCTTTTAATTTCATGGCTGCAGTCACCATCTGCAGTGATTTTGGAGCCCAAGAAAATAAAGTCTGTCACTGTTTCCATTGTCTCCCCATCTATACATATTTAACATATATATCTGAATACAGTGGGAGACTTTTTTTCTCTCCAAAATTATCCCCCGGAAAAGAGGAATTCACCTACGGATCCATGTTATTTTTGGAAACTTCAATTTCTCTCATATGAAGGGATGTGCTTTCATTTACTTTATTTGGATCAATTTTTGTTATATTTTTACTGCTTGGGGAATCTTTCCTGTAAAGGCTGAAAATCCAGACTGATTTGGGCTGTTTTTACAGGTTATCTCATGGAATCACAATTATTTAAGAAAGAATAAGAAAATATAGAATCAGGGGACTTCCCTGGTGGTCCAGTGGCTAAGATTCCATGCTCCCGATGCAGGGGGCCCAGGTTCTACCCCTGGCTGGGGAACTAAGATCCCATGTGTTGCAACTCAGACCTGGTGCAGACAAAGGCGCAGTCTCCAAAAGGAGAGTAGAAGCAACCCTGGGAGACACTTAAAGAGGCAGAGTCCGGCATTTGAGAACATATTTATTAACCCCTCCAGAAAAATGGTAATTATTTCTGATGATATGATTTCATGAATTCAATCGCAAATTTTGCAAACAAGCCTTTTAAAGATTACAGATATGTACCTATAAGCCAAAACTTAAAAAATAGAAGTGTTACTGCTAATGTGAATGGATAACTAAGGCTTGAGATGCATCCAAAAGTACCATCAAGAGCAGATCCTGAAATTTTCCTAACTGGAGACGTAGAAGTGCAGATAATGTGCTCCAGAAATCCGTGCTGGAGAACTTGAAAAGGGGTAATGTTAGGTCGAAGACCAGCTACTACAGGTGCAGGTGAAGATCTGAGTGAAACTACTGCATAAAAAGTGCAGGAAAAGAGCAGTATTTCTAGATTAATATACCCTAGTATTAAATGAGTGAGTCAAAATATGTATGAGTAGCATCATTTTTTTTTAACATAATATCAGTTCAGTTCAGTCACTCAGTTGTGTCAGACTCTCTGGGACCCCATGGACTGCAGCACGCCAGGCCTCACTGTCCATTACAAACTGATTGCTGTTTTTGAGATTGCATCCAAGTACTGCATTTCAGACTCTTTTGTTGACTGTGATTGCAACTCCATTTCTTATAAGGGTTTCTTGCCCACAGTAGTAGATATAATGGTCATCTGGGTGAAATTCACCCATTTCAGCCCACTTTAGTTCACTGATTTCTAAAATATCAACATTCACTCTTGCCATCTCCTGTTTGACCACTTCCAATTTGCCTTGATTCATGGACCTAACATTCCAGGTTCCTATGCAATATTGCTCTTTACAGCATTGGACCTTACTTCCATCACCAGTTGCATCCACAACTGGGTGTTGTTTTTGCTTTGGCTCCATCTCTTCATTCTTTCTGGAGTTATTTCTCCACTGATCTCCAGTAGCATATTGGGCACCTACTGACCTGGGGCGTTCATCTTTCAGTGTCCTATCTTTCTGCCTTTTCATACTGTCCATGGGGTCTCAAGGCAAGAATCCTGAAGTGGTTTGCCTTTCCCTGCTCCAGTGGACCACATTTTTCAGAACTCTCCGCCATGACCTGTCTGTCTTGGTTGGCCCTACACAGCAAGACTCATAGTTTCATTGAGCTAGACATGGCTGTGGTGCATGTGATCAGTTTGATTAGTTTTCTGTGACAGAGGGTCTTGTTCTGGTGGGCGCGGCCATGCTCAGTAAATCTTTAATTCAATTTCCTGTTGATGGGTGGAGCTGTGTATATATATATATATATATTACATACTATAGATATTGACTATTTCATCTATAACCATTCATGTGTTTACTGCAGTTACACAATAAGTCTTGAAACTGGGTAGACTAATTTCTCCTACTTTATTATTTTTAAAAATTCTTTAGGCTATTCTAGTTTTCTCACATTTCCTTATAAATTTCAGAATAATATTATCCAAATCTACAAACATCTGACCAAGATATGCTCTGAATATGGGGATAACTGACTCATCTTTACTAAGTTGAGTCTTCAGCTATTTTTATCAGTCGTGGCTGGTGGTGGTGGTGATGCTGCCTTTTGGATTTATAACCAGACCAAATCTTTGCTGCACTGCTAAGAGTCATCTGTGGTCATAACCTTCACAGAATGTAAGAGTGGAAGTCGCTCAGTCGTGTCCAACTCTTTGCGACTCCATGGACTATATAGTCTACGGAATTCTCTAGGCCAGAATACTGGATTTGGTAGCCTTTCCCTTCTCCAGGGGATTTTTGCAATCCCGGGACAGAACCCAAGTCTCCCCCGTTGCAGGCGATTCTTTACCAGCTGAGCCACACGGGAAGCCCAAGAATCATTTCATCTCCTGGCTATGTTTTTAGGCAAGGAGGGTACTCACAGATCCTAAGGTACTAAGGCTGAGGCAGAAAATAGGTGCGTTTACTGCACAGGGTCCAACAAGTTGCCTGTCAATCCATCCCGTCTCCCACTCAGTCCCAGGAGAGGGACCTCTTAGCTCGCAAGGGACAGGGTTTAGGGGCATGACCTCCGCTCCAGCGGCCGAAGTTCCTCCTAGCAGCGTGGGGGCGCGCTAAAGTCGCTGCAGGTCCAAGCGGCGCTCTTTCTCAGCTTCTTTGGTCGGGACTGAGGCTTTCGGGACGGCGGTGGGAAGATGGCGACCTGCAGGGACCGGCTTGGAGCCGTGGAGGCAGAGGAGAGCCCGAGTTGCCAGGGGTACTCGGGAGTCGAGGTGGTGCTTTCTTCTGATTCCGCCACCCCCGCCCCGCTGTGCCCTCACGGTGGGTCCGCGTCTGGGCTCTGCCTGGCTGTCGGGCGCCAAGGGGCGTGGTTATCCTGAGGGCGCCAGGGGCATTTAGGGCTCCCGAATTTTTATCTGCCTCTCTCTCCCGCTGAGTAAGGTTCTAGAAGGCGCTCCTTCCTCGGGAAGTTGTGCTTTTCCACTTACTTAAGAAACCTTCAAAGAAGCCCTCCTGTTGTGGTTTTGGCTTCAAAGCCGTTACATCTTTTTTGAAGGGACGAGGCAGAGGCTAGGCACAAAGGATGTATGTTATTAATTCCCACTGCCAAGTACTTGGATATTTCATTTGTTGATTTCCGTTATTTTTAGTTAAAAAAAGTTAGGGAGGCACGAAATCATGAATTCTTGCTTAGAAACCAGACCCAGTGTTTAACTCGCGGAGAGAGACTGTGTCCAAATCTAAAAGCTAAGAGTTTCACTGGAAAGATAACTGAGCGGAGGTAACAAAGTGCTCAGTTGTTCGAACTCTGTTGCTGTGTCAGGACCTAGACGGTTCACCATGTGGATTGCAACTGTACTGACACTAGCATTTTCCTTCTGGAGAGACTGGTTTTCAAAATATGTTTCCTAAGTAGTCAGTGCCTGAATGTTGTGACTTTTGGTTAAAAAAAAAAAAATTATCAAAGCATTGCATTTAATTATGACAGCCTGTGCATAAAACTAAAACAAATTTTATTTAAGGTCGGTGAAAACTAGAGACTTGATATCGATGACTGTCTGACATTTTTTTTTAATTATGGAACTAGGACCTACTCTTCTGTTTGTAAAGGTGAACCAAGGGAAAGAAGAAACACGGAGGTTTTATGCCTGCTCAGCTTGTAGAGATAGAAAAGATTGTAATTTTTTTCAATGGGAAGATGAAAAGGTATATCAACTTTTTGGATATATTTATTTATTTTTGATGTGTGTGACATTTTGTTAACGTATGAGATAAACCTCTTAACAGATGAAGATACCATGTTTTTTGGTCCAGAGATTGGAGTTTATATTTACCTTGAACTTAACTGACTACTCTGATGTCTTAAACTACTGTCTCAAAGAATGAATTTCCTTTAAAACTTTCTGAGGTATTGAGTTTGCAAATATAGATTTCTTCCTGAAGAATGCAGGTCATGATCATTCCTGGAAGTGTTTTAGAAAAATCCTTTTTGGGAAGCATTTGCATCAAACATCCTTTCTTCAGCTACTGGATGGCTGACGAAGGCACTTAGAGATACAGTTATGAGCTTGGTATCCTCTTGGCTCAGCGCCAATTCAAGTTTCTGAAAGTTTTGACTAGGAAGCTTTCAGTTTTGTTAGGTTTATTGGAAAACAGTCTGTGTGCCACTCTTTTGTAGACTTGTTAAGATCACCATGTGTGAATTAATCTCTCAGTGCTTCAGTACGTTGTTTACTGTTTGAAACTGCTCTAGAGTTTCCCAAGGTTAATGTCTTTTATTTCCCCCTGAAATGAATGCTTGTTTACAGCTTTGAGCTGCCTGAGTTTCTGGCTTCTTGGTGTTCGAATATGATACCACTTTTTCTAGCATGATAGCCAGTTTGATGATTTACTAAGTGAGTTTTGTACTATCTTTCAGTTGTCAGGAGCCAGACTTGCTGCCCGGGAAGCCCATAACCGAAGCTGTCAGCCTCCTTTATCCCGATCTCAGTGTGTGGAAAGGTACTGATGGATGTCACTTTTAATTTATTATCCCATTGTTGATTTTTTCTCTGTGCCTTTAAGTTTACTTTAAATAATTAGTGTATTTTTGTTGTGGTAAAATGCATATTTAACATTTGCCAATTCAGTGGCGATAATTATATTAACAGTGTTGTGCAACCATCACCACTGTGTTTCATCACCCCAAACAGAAATTCTCTCACTGTCAAGTAATAACTCTCCATTGCACCTTCCTCCAGTCTGTGATAACTTCTAATCTACTTTTTGTTTCTATGAATTTGACCATTCTAGGTACTTCAGATAAGTGGAATCATCCATATTTGTCCTGTGTGTCTGGCTTATTTCACTTAGAGTAGTGTTTTCAAGGCTCATCCATGTTTTAGCATGTATCAAAACTTCATCCTTTTTATGGCTGAATGATATTCCTTTGTATATGTGTACCACATCTTGTCTGTTCATCAGTGGACACCCAGATGTTTCCACCTTTTGGCCATTGTGTGTAATAGTCAATGCATGTTGGTGTATAAATAGTTTGAGTCCCTGTTTTCATTTCTTTTGTATATATCCATAGGAGTAGAATTACTGGATCATATGATAATACTGTTTTTTGAGAAATTGCCAACCTGTTTTCTACAGTAGCTGCACTGTTTTACATCCCCGTCAGCAATGTAGAAGGGTTCCAATTTCTGCATGTCCTTGCTAATGTGTATTAGTATTATTTTTTGCTAGGATAGCCATCCTAGCATTTGTGTAGTGGTATGTCATTATGATTTTGATTTTTGTTTCCTTCTATATTAATGGTGTTGACCATCTTTTCATATGCATTTTGGCCATTTATGTATCTTCTTGGAGAAATGTCTCTTCAAGTCCTTTGTCTACTTTAACAAGGTCATTACTCTTTTTGTTGTTGAGTTGCAGGAGTTCTTTATATGTTCTAGATGTGTGTGTGTGCATGCATGTACTTACTTGTGTCTGACACTTTGTGACCGCATGGACTGTAGCCCACCAGGCTTCTCTGTCCATGGGATTCTTGGGAAAGAATATTGGAGTGGGCTGCCATATATTACTCCAGGGAATCTTCACAACCCAGGGATTGAACCTGAATCCTTTGTGTCTCTTGCATTGGCGGGGGGATTCTTTACTACAAGAGTGTATCAAAGGGTCTCATCTTTCAATTTTTTTTGTTGTTGTTGCGTGTGCTTTTGTTATCATAGTTAAGAATCATTGCCAAATCCAGTTTCATGAAGATTTACTGTAATCTTCTTTCTTGAAATAGTATTAATAAAAGAACTAAAAAAATTTTTTTAAAGCTACAACATCTGTCTTTAAAAATCTGCATTTTAAAAATGTTTTATTGGGTTAACTGGAATTGAGTCACAGATTTAATTTATTGGTAAACCTGTGAAGAAAATTCACCCCTTTCCTTTGTGGTAGGCATCATGCTCTATGTGCTGGGGGAAGCTTCTTAAGAAGCCTCTAGTCTGGGTTGCTGATGACAAACAGGTTTTCACTCTCATGACAGCTCCTTCTGGTTACCTGGGCTGCTGTGTTGAGAAGGGTTATGAAGTCTTGTCTAGGTTAAGTGGAAAGGATACTGGGATCTGTTAAAAATGTCTTCCTGAGTTTTTTTTTTTTTTTAACAGCACTGTGTAGCTTTATTAACCATTCAAGTACAGTAGCGTCTATAAGATTGGGACAGAATTGGGATTTAAAAGTGAACAGATATTCAGCATCTAAAATTTGAAAGAAGCCACTACATATTCTTTTCACAGACATGTTTTCACGGAGCCAATACAGTACTAGCCATTAACCCAGCACACCAGGCGTACTGAGGTAGAAAAGATGCAACAAGAAAAATAGCTACATTAGAAAGACTTCTACACTTTAGAAAAAGAGTAAAACACCTTTCGTTTCTCCCCTTTAGTCCCTAGAACAACATCATACCGTCTAGATCTACCTATACAGTCCTACATCAGCTTCTAGAATATTTGTCAGGAGGGCAAAAATAAAATGACACCAGCCAGTACAGTCTTTGGATATTTAGGAGGGGGAGGGGGAGAAAGTCAGTTCTCAGATCAAATTAGTTGGCTTCAGTCTCGTCAACAGGGTCTTTGGATACTTTGTCTTCCGTACTTCTTCAATGTGCTTGTCCTTCTCTCGCAAACGCTCCAGTTTGGCAGGCATTTGTGCCTCCTGGTTCTCTTTGCTGGCTTCCATCTTGTGGGTCACCTTCTCTTCTGCCAGTTTACTAAAGGTGTTGTTCTCCTGTATCGCTTTCTGAAGCACTTCTTTCTCGTGCTCCCGTTTCTCAGCAAGCTGCTTCAAGACCTCAGCTTTATGGGACTTGTGTCTTTCTTCTGCACCTCCTAATTTCTTCTGAATTTCCTCCAGGGAAAGATCCTTCTTAGGAGGGGAAAGGGGAAATTCTGGGACAGATTCTTTTGATCGAGGGCTGAGAATCAGCTCAAAAGCCTGGCCTGAGGCACGCTTCTCCAGTCCCTTCACCTGGATATCAGAAGAAGCCATGGTGAAGAGAAGACAAGAGACTGGCAGTGTACTCTACACGATTCACTGGCAAGGAAAACCCTGCTCAGTCCGAGCCGCCTGGCCACACTCTCCTTCCTGAGCTTTTAATAGATTTCAAAGTCCTTTGATGGAGGTGACTTTTTTTAAGTTAACTTGATTGCCCCCCAGCACTACAGTACTGAGATATCTACTTAATTTATGGGAATTAACTTGATATCTACTTAATTTATGGGCGTTAAATCAGCAACAAAAAATGTTGAAAGGAGAATTAATGAAAATTGGGAACCACTGAGCCAGGCATTATGTGAGGTGTTTTCCATGTGATGTGAAGTGAAGTGAAAATCACTCAGTTGTGTCCAACTCTTTGTGACCCCAAGGACTGTAGCCCACCAGGCTCCTCTGTCCATGGGATTCTCCAGGCAAGAATACTGAAGTGGGTTGCTGTTTCCTGCTCCATGAGATACTGTTTAATCCTTCCCAATGTGGTTTACTTAGATGAAAATTGAGGCTTGGAGAAGTTAAGTTAACCTCATCAACGTCATACTACTAGAATAACTGAGCAGTGACTCAAACTTATGCCTCTCCAATTCTGAAGTGGTATTTTTAAGCATATAAGCAGATAGTAATTAATATATGATGTGTAGTAATATAAGGAGATTTAAGACTGTAAAACACAGTTATATAGAGAAGTATTATTATGAGGTTATCATAATGAGATAGAATAAATACAGAAAGTAGAAAGTAGGGAGGCATCATCATGGCTTTTCCTTTTGAAGCCATCACTTTGGTCATTTTCTAGTACTTCCTCCTGGCTTTTTTTCCTGTGCAAAAGGGTTGTGGTCATAATGTGTACTTAGTTTTGTACTCTACCATATCACTTTTAGCTAATAAGCATGTATTTCATGTTATTGCATAAGAATATTGGTGATTCAGTTAAACTCCATAAAAAAATTTAGATGATCTTCTTTCCTTACATAATAAGATTTTAGCCTGGAGCTAAACCACTGTGCAAATCTTTGTACTGCCAGAGTATGGTTTTTGATACTGAACAATTTTTGAAATGCATATTTCATGATAATTAGAAATAAAAACACTGGCTAGAATATGAAAATATTAAAATTTTTTCAAAAGGTTATTTCTTAGGGGCTGTAATTTCATCTTTTCTAGTGCTGATTTTGAGAGCTTGTCTTAAATCATCTGTGATCCAAAACCTCAGATTTTGTTTCCCAGGCCTCTGTCTATTTATCTATCCTTCTATCCATCCAGTCATTTATTCATTCATTGTTGAGGACTCAAAAAGAACTTAAAATGCTAGTAATAATGGAGTTGAGATATATTTAAAAATAATACAGTGCAAAGAAGAATGTACTATGTTGCCAGTACTCTCAGAAAAAACTGGGTACTGTGGAAGGTCAGAAGCTCTACAGTTTACTTGTGCCTTCACTAACTGATTAAGTTTAAGGATATGGTATTTAAATAGATTTTGGAGGATTGGTAAAAGTTTACACTTTTTGAAGTGTAGTGTCATTGATTTTACTGCATCACTTTATAGCTGATGCTCTTATGCTTTCTTATTTGCTTGCTACAGAGTGAAAAGTTTGAAATTAGTCATTCTTCAAAATTAAATATGTTGCCTTTCTAAAACCAAAGCTTATTAAATTACCTGTTCTGTGCTATTAATTGCTTATTCTTTTGGTGTGTCTTCATTTTGAGACTAGCAAATTATTCTTGTGTGTAATGGACCTAAGGATGACATACTATTACTTGAGATTATCATTTTTTTCTAATTTAATTTTATACAACTCATTTGTGTTATCTTATTAAGTAACTATATTTGAAAGTGTTAAAATGCATTTAAACATTATACCTATTCTATAAAGCAAACTTTTTATCTGTTACTGTGACATAGCATTAGCTTTGCATTGATTTAGTTTTGAAATTATTAGTAAAGAACAATTGTAGTTATTGAGATAAATCGACCCTTGTTACTTGATTTTTATTATGGAGCTGGCAGTGCTGCACAGACTTCTAAGTTCCACAATATAGGATTTGATAATCATTTTCCTAATTTTACTCTTTGAATCATGCTTTATATTTCATATGTGTTCAGCTGACTGGTTTATATTTTTGTGCCTGAGACTTGACTTCTTTTACAATTTTTAGCTGCCTGTTATGTATTCTATTATGTAGTATATTGGCATCTTTTTCATGATCCCTGAAGTCTTAGAGAAGATATATTTTAATGCTAAAATCAGCATTAATTTATGTGCATCCAGATAGTTTTGTTTAGTTGATAATTCATTTGGTTATATTTTTTTTCAGAGCTCATTTAAACTCAGATTTTCAAGGTCTGCTATTAGGGAAATGCCATAAACATAGTTTGTCTACTCCTGGAAAGGCAAATGGAACATCAAATGGAGATCAATAAAAGTGACATTCCGAATGCTAGCCTGCAGTTTGTGAGTCATGCTGAG